TCACAACTTGTAATGGATTTCTGATCCTTAACAAAAAGAACAAACTAGTTTCACAAGTAGGAAAAAGTTCTTTTTGCTACAGAAAATATTTCTAGTAATTCAAATCAATTGACTCTGAATGGTAAGACGAGCCAAATTAGAAGATGTGGGTGGAGAGAAATCTACCCCTGGATGGCTTTTGCAAAAATACATATTGGCTAACTAAATTTCAGTCCTTCAAATGAATTAACCTAAAGCTGCATCAGCAAATATAAGAACATCTATCCTCTAATACTCCATTCACCAGATGTATGCTGGAACGATTGGAGCCAATCTGCAATTTTCTGTCCATTTCAAGATTAGCAATGCCTTCCTAAGCTCGAATACCAGGTGCGAGCTTTTCAAATCGCTTCTATAGAGACTGACTCACTTTCTTGCCAAGAAGCAACATGATCCTTGATTTGATGAGCTTTTATTAATGAGAAGTAAGGGAACCTGCCTCAGAGGATAACTTAATGTATCCATTTTATCTTTTGTGCTTCTCCAAACCAAAGAGAGACCCTCAGCTGACCTGAATGTTTTGTGTCTTTTTTATCCTGGAAAATTGCCAGAATTCCTGTCTATCATATTTCAAGTTTGAGCAGAAGACAGACAAAAAAACCCTATTAATATGAAAGCTGAATTTTTCCACAAAATGAAGCTTGGCACAGTTCTCAGGACAACACTGTTAGGATAAAAGGTAATGAAGGGAAAATTACAATGGCAGCTAGCTCATTTCTTGCCTGGCTGAGGTAATCACAACTAAAACTGCTACTTTGAATTAAAGCAATTCTAAAGAAATAGTAGCCATTGAACAGTGGTACAGTGTTTTGAATATTAGACTGAATTTCCAAAGTGAAACAATTTCATGGAATGTATACAGGGTTTGATAGCTTTTAGAAACACTTTAATGAGGCATGAAACCCCACAGAGAAGCCATCCATAGATCCTCTGGTAGCAGTAAGTGCTAGAATTTGACTTTTTAGATACTGTGACAAATTACCTTTTCTGACTAAACTCAACAAAATCAGACAATTCATAGCTAGCATACAAAAAGGGGACCCTCCACTTGCACAACACACTGAAGAGAGACTCCAGAATCTTCTATACTAGTTGATGCAATTTGATATTTCTGTTTGTGTATTGATATCAGAGTTGGATGTCTGGAACTGGATGTCTGGTCTACTGAGACTGCTGTAGAAGTATAGTCCCTCAGATATAAGGTTGCCCGTGTAATGACAAAATGAGGGTTAACTTGGCTACTGTCATCAAGGTAAGGCACGTGAACAACTTTCATTGTGACTATACTAGAACTGAAAAATTGAGTATCTGTTCATAGAGACTCCGTTCCCCAGGACATACCAGCTCTTTTCTACCTACCTCAGGATTAACAGGGTCTCTCTGAGCAAAGCTTCACTCCCAGCCACTGGTTGATTCAGAAGGTAAGACTCTTCTGCAGTACTGACCCAAGAGTCAAGGAGAAGAATGCAAAATACAAAGCCTGAGATGCAGAAGTTCCAGGTGAACTGGTTTCATTTCCAGTTGCTTGACATCTTCTAAAGACCCCACATCCCAAGTACAATATCCTTTGTAGACAATACAACGGAGCATGTTATCCTGATTATGAACTTCCTGTATTCATATCTTTCACTCTTTAGAATAATAAGTTAACCATTGATCATCAGTGACAAGAAGAGCATGAACGTTCCTTTGACTGAAATACTGAGGTAAATAGGTTGAAGTTTAATAAGGACAAATGCAAAGTACTCCACTTGGGAAGGAACAATCCATTTCATACCTAGAGAATGGGAAGTGACTGTCTAGGAAGGAGTACGGCAGAAAGGGAGATAGGGGTCAGAGTGGACCACAAACTAAATATGATTCAACTGTTTGACACTCTTGCAAAAAAAGCAAATGTAACTCTGGGATGCATTAATAGGAATGTTGTCATTCTTCCGCTCTACTCTATGCTGATTAGGCATCAATTGGAGTATTGTGTCCAGTTCTGGGCACCACATTTCAAGAAAGATGTGGAGAAACTGGAGAAGCTCCACAGTAGGGATGTTAAAGACTAGTCGACTATCAGATAGTATGTTAACTAGTTGATTCCCTACCCCCTTGCTGCCTCTATAATATAATAGAGGCAACATATAATATAATATAGAGGCAGCAAAAATAGGGGGAAGAGGTACTTCAAAGCACAGCGCTGCACAGCTGAGCCAGGGTCCAGCTGTGTGGCGCTGCCACTTTGAAACCCCAAGGCAGAGTTTCAAGGGGCAGCCAACACCGCCACACAGCAGCGCTGCCCCTTTAAATGCCAAAGGGCTGTGGAGCCCAGGTTCTGCTAGGGACTCCCCTACCTGATCCTGGGTTCCACTGAAATGCCGTGTGAAACCAGGGTCAGCTGAGGAATCCCCCACTAATCTTGAGCTCCATGGCTTGGAAATGCACAAGAGACTGTAGCCATACAGGAACCCCCATCTGTAACATCCATCTTGTTTGCCTGGAGCATACAGGGCACACACAGAGCAGCAAAATCAGCATAGTCTTTGAAGCCTTGACAGGAGGCCCAGCTATGCTAGCTCACAGTGACCCTGGAAGGCTGTAAACAGAGATACGCCAATTGTTGATCTCGAGGCTGCAAGAACTGCCTTGACGAACACACAGACGTCTGCAGGGGGAGGAATCTCCTGCCCAGTAAAGAATGCCCAGTACTCACAATTTAGTTCTCTCTTTTGCAAGTGTAAATTAACTTGAAACTCCCTTGTAAGAACTGGCGTCACAATGACGGACCAACACAATTTGGCATCTTAGATAAGAAAGAGGATATGGGCCCCTATGGGTATAAAGATGGGTCCAGCAGCACACTTACTCTGAGTGTCAATCTACCATCTATCTGCTGGTCAGGTTAGGTGATTGGCCTCCCGAGGTTTCACGGGGACGCCCACCTCGTATTCGTCTTTCCTAGGAAATGAGGGACCGGCCCTGGCCTGATACGCTGGAGTTGAGAGGCACAGAAGGGGGTAAAAATTGTACCTGGATGTGTCCTTTGTCTTAAGTGTACACATAGACTTAGAGCTCTTTAAAGGTTAAGCTGTCACTTGGTACCATTATTTCTATTTTCTATCTTTATTTCCTTTGTAACCATTTTTTAAAATCTATATTTGCTAGTAGTTAAGAAATAGAGCAATAGCCATTGTAACCATATAATTTATAAGCTTCTTTAATAAACCTGTAACTGTTTAAGCTTTAACCTGACTCCTTCAGTTGCTGTAACAGAACCAAGCACGATTTAAAAGAACTTCAGCCGGTCATAAGGGACTCACTGCCCTGACCGTCGGCTGACACTGAGGCATGTAGCTTACTGCACATGCCTTGTATGTATGAGGTCCCAGGTTTGATACCCTCCTTCTTGTGGTCAGGATGCTAGCCTAGGACTTACAAATCCCCAATTCAACTCCTTGCTCTGGCAGATATCCAGCATGAGCTTGGGCAAGTTCTGTTCTTGCAGCTAAAGACACGGATGTAATAAGCTCTCCCTGAAAACTTTGGGGCGTCTTTCAGCCTGTTGGCTGCCCACCGCGAAGGGACCCCAGTCCTAGTGGTCGAACACACGTACGTAAAACTTCTTGGGGCACCCGTCGGCCTCCCCTAAGGCCGCCCGCTGCGACAGGACCTCATGACCTAGCAGTTGAAGACTCGGGTGTATAACACACACACACTGCCCTGATCATCGTCTGACAGAGACCATGCTGGAGACTCTTGTACATTTCAAAGCAGGAACTGCATTGAGCCCAGAGTCAGCGGGACTTCCCACTGGCCCCAGTGGGGGCTCTTGTACATTTCAAAGGAGGAACGCGGAAGTTCTTATCAACTAGTTGAGTAGTCAATGGAAATTCCATCGACTACTCAACTAGTCAATTAACCACATTTTAACATCCCTAGTCCAAAGAGAAACAAAAATTATTAAAGGTCTAGAAAACATGAGCTATGAGGTGAGGCTAAAGGAATTGGGCTTGTTTAGTATGGAAAAGAGAAGACTGAAAGGGACATGATAGCAGTTTTCAGGTATCTAAAAAGGTGTCACGGGGGAGGAGAGGATTGTTTCCCTTGGCCTTTGATGACAGGACAAGAACCAATGGGCTTAAACTGCAGCAAGGGAGGTTTAGGTTGGACATTAGGAAAAACTTCCTGTCACTGTTAAACATTGGAATAAATTGCCTAGGGAGACTGTAGAATCTCTATCATTGGAGATATTTAAGAGCAGGTTAGACAGACATCTATTAGGGATGGTATAGACTGTGTTTGGTTCTGCCATGAGGGCAGGGGACTGGACTTGATGATCTCTCAAGGTCCCTTCCAGTTCTAGTATTCTATGATTCTACTGCTTAAAACAGAATAATGTTCATGGGATGGGATGGGATGGGATGGGATGGGATGGGATGGGATGGAGAAAGGAAGGTGGGAATATACAAAGAAGGGAAGCAGAGATGTACAAAAAAGAAAATAGTCCAGAAACTGCTAGAATTGAGACTGATCATTTCCCATGGTCCCATACCATTTGTTTACAGCCACCAATCTTTGTTCTCAGTGTTCTGTGCTTTTATCTAGCTCTAGTTTACCCCAAATGTCTTTTAACATCCCAGTAAGCAGTGCACGTGTTGGTAATGCTGCTAGACAATATTGACTTCCCATTGTCTAGCAAATTCTCTGGTTCGGCCCCATGGATGCCAGACTAGAGAGGTTCAATCTGTACTGTGAATAAAGTTCTTTTTATTAATTCTGTGTAAATTCATGTAAAAACTTGACACACCTGTTTTAACAAAGTAGTTTTCCTCCCTGTAAATATTTTGAAAAAAACAACTCCTCACAATTAAAATTCCTTTACCCAGATGCTATTGCTAAGCAAGAATGTTCTGATTTTTTTCAAATGTTAGTAAAGTACATATGGATGTTATTTAAAAATTACTTCAGAGACTTACTGTTTTCCAAGCAGAATCTTGGACAGATCTTGTTCAAAAGAAGTTCCTGACGTAACCTAAGGACTTCAGCTTCTAATGCTTCAACTTTTGATCTCCAATTAAAATCCTGTCCAGAAATAATTTTGGCAAGATGTTCTGTGTATTCTTTGCTGCTTTTTTCTAGAGGTTTAGAGTGAATAATCGCTAAAGCCAGTGCCAACTTCGATATTTTCAAGTACCAGGTTTGATGTTCTTCTCTGTCTTTTATTCCTATCAAATAACAAGAGAGTTACAGTAAGTTTTTGTTCAGTGAGTTATGTATCTCATTTACTGATAGGCTATAATCCACAGTGAGGCTAATTATCTTATTTTTCACGTGACCTTAAATCAGTGAACAATACCACAAATCTTATCACATACAGTATGAAATGAAACATAAAAGTGGCATGCAGACAATGTGAGTAATCAAATTCACTTTGGTAGTTTTAAAGTAACCGTGTAAACAAGTATGGCTTATTTTCAGAAGAAAAATATTTTAGTTAATTTTAAATGCACATTTTATCCCAATACTAAGTTCTAACCTCATGGTTGCAGAATGGATATTGGATCATACATTATTTTGGGAGCCAGCAGGCAGGCACTCTGGCTCAGTCTTGGCTCACAGTGGCTCTCAGCAACTGCCCCCAGCTCCCAAAATGCTTTAAATGCATAGCCACAGCAGGAGTAGCTACTGGGACCTGGCATGAGCTGGGACTGAGCCAGCTTGACTGTGCTCCAAGCTCCTTTCAATGCAGAGCCACAGAGGTTAAATATGTAACCAACAAAATTTTTGTCGGCTACATGATTATCAGATGATATGCTCCCTAACAGTCCTAATAGCTACAAATCAACATATTTTAATGGGCACCAATCAATGAGAATCAATCACTCTAAGAAAGTAGCTAAAATGTGTGAACGCAAAAGATGGTTAATATTAATTTTTAAATTATTCAAATCTATTATTTAAATAATTATGTGCTATTAAATGGCAACAGCACCTACAACATTCTTTGGATAAGAATTCATACTTGTCATAGCGGGGCTTCCCAGCAGGGCAGCGGGAGACCCACACATGATAATGGGGTTGCTCAATAGGATAGCGGGAACCAGGCACACAAAGACAGCGAGGCTGCCTGGCATGGCAGCAGGAGTTGGGTACTGTAGCAAGAACGCAGTGTGAGCAGAGGTGGCGGGGCTGTTGAGCACTGCAGCAGGGGCTGACAGGGCAGGGAGAGACTGCTGGGAGGCCAGCAATTGGGCCAGGGTGGGAGGGGGCTCGTGTCAGGGGAGCCAGAAATGACTTCCCCTGGTCCTACAAAATACCTGATCCAGGACTGGTCAGGTCCCGAGGGTGCCGGGCCAGGGAGGTCCAACCTATATTGCTTCTCCAGAGAGTTAAGTCCAAAGTGAAGAGCTTCTAACGGATCTCTCAAGACTAGGTGACTGGGCCACAAAATGACAGATAAATTTTAATGCTGATAAATTCTAAGTAATGCATATTGGAATGCATAATCCCAACTACACATATAAAATGATGGGAACTAAATTACCTATTACGATTCAAGAAAGAGATTTTGATGTCATTGGGGATAGTTCTCTGAAAACATCCACTCAATGTGCAGCAACAGCCAAAAAAGCAAACAGAATGTTAGGAATCATTTTAAAAGTGATAGAGAATAAGAGAAAAATATCTTATTGCCTCTGTATAAATCCATGAAATAGCCACATCTCGAATACTGTGTGCAGATTAGGCATGTAAAATTTCAATTAATTGGCTAATCGAAAAGTCTATGCAATTCGTCTCGACTATTCAATTAGTTGATAGTGGCGCCTCCGCCTTTGGAAGCAACTTCAAAGGGCTGTGTTGCTACACCTGAAAGGCGAAAGCACTGCAGGGAGCATGGGACGAGTGGGGGCTCAGGTAGGGGCGGCTCAGCGTCTCCAGTTGATCCCAGACTCCATGCAGCGCTGCCGCTTTGAAATGCCACTGAGAGGGTGGGGCCAGGCTCCAGGCAGTGTTTCAAAGTGGCAGCGCCGCATGGAGCCCAGGGTCAGCAGGGGAGTCCCCAGCTGACCCGGGCTGCAAGCAGTGTTTCAAAGTGGCAGCACCGCATGTAGCCTGCGTCAGCTGGGGACCCTGGGCTGCATGTGGCGTTTCAAAGGTGCAGACCCCGGGCTCCACGCAGCGCTGCCACTTTGAAACAGCATGTGCAGCCTTGGCCAGCTGGGGACTCCCAGCTAGCCCACGGCTGCACGTGGCATTTCAAAGCAGCAGCACCACGTGGAGGCCGGGGTCTGGCCCCAGGCTCCAGACAGCGCTGCCAGTTTAAGCATCCTTCCCCCACCACTGCTGCCTCAAGAGGGGGAAGTGACTAGTCAAATAGCGTGTCAACTGCCTGAAAGCATTGGCTTATCGGACAGTTGACTCGTCATTCACATCCCTATGCAGACGTGCTCACCTCATCTCAAAAAAGATACACTGGTATTGGAAAAAGTTCAGAAAAGGGCAACATCATGATTAGGGGTTTGGAGACGCTGCAACATCAGGAGATATATATTATGTGGATGCTGCCCACGTAACAGTGAGCTACATATGTATCCCACAATGTTAAACAGGTTGAGATCGCCTGCTTTAAATCTACCCGTAGAAAAGCAGCAGCCTGGTGTCAGTGAACTGCCAACACTGACCCACAGTTATCCATTTCCTTGCCAATTGCCAAACACATAGCATACAAGAGAGTTTTACATTATCTCAAGGCTAAAAAAACTTCAAGAGCCAGTAATACAAATAGATGAAGATGAAATTGAGCTGGCATTAACAAATACTAAGCTTTAGTTTCAGAGCACTGAAGCTATACAGCTTCCTTTAATATTAATGGAACTATGAAGCTAAATCATTGCACGGTGAAGCTAAAATTTGTCCAGTAGCCACCTTTCATGTCAATATTAGCAAAGCAGGTCCAGGGAAGTCCAAACGTTTCTGTTGCTCCACTGTACTTCCACTCCCTGAGAAAAATTAATTATTGTATAGACCTATGGTATAAGAAACCACTGATGGTAGGATACAAATTGAAAGTGTTAACATTTCCTAACATTATTTTCTTGCTGATATTCCTTCCTTTTGATAGCTATGTTTACTATAATTGGTTAACCCAAAGCCAAGATCATGTACTTTCTTGGGCATTTATATATTTTGCAAATTGCATTAGAGATTCCGAGATGATAAATTGTAATTTAAAAAAATGTAGGAACATACAAATGCACAATAAGTTAACCTCTTGAAATTAATTCAATCATTGTAGAAGATGAATGATATTATGAGAGAAAATATGTTATCCAATTTACCAGCTAATTATTTAGGGCAATTTTACTGCACACTAAGGACTCAAATACATTTATCAATCATTTCTGGAAGACTTGACAATATAATGAAAACAAACAATATAACAAATTTGCTTGTTTTAACTCTACAACGGTTAAAAGACATAGAAGAGAGTGCAGTACAGTACATATTTTCATTTTCTCCTACTACTTTCTTTTGGTTTTGTACTGGAGTTTAACTATTATGCACAATGAAAACTCTTTTCCATAGCTAAAGAAACAAGTAAAATAACTGGTTTTTAGAAGCTGAATGCTTCAGAGAAAAAACTATGCATGGCACAGAATTATTTCCCTAAAACATGGTTTCACTTTGAGGTGTCGTCATTTCTGCATAACTTTAACAGTTTGCTCTCAGCAAGTTTTCAGTTATATCTGAGAACTTCAGTAGAAAAAACTAAAATGTTTCTAAGCTTTACTCTGTTTAGCCCTACAAAGTTATGTATAGTTCTGGGACAGCAAACTGGATTTTTTTCCTGATTAAAAATACATAAACAGAAGATTTTTGGAGTTTCCTTCCCCAACTGGAGGACTGTGTGTGTCCACAACTCTACTGCCTTCAAATTTATGATCTAAATTACACTTGTGTTACCACACTGAAACTACAGAGCTGCACAGATGTAACAAACGACAATAATTAAAATAGCAAAATCTTCTACCGCAAATCTGAAAGCTGCTCTGAATGGATCTCCATAGGATAAGAGTCAATGGGGACCAACACAGGAGTCCATCTGTGAAAATCACTTTGCAAAATAAGGATCTTTATTACTAGGGTAACACGCACAGAAAGCACAACTACTGACCTACAGATCCAAAGCTGAATTTGCAAGGCTGGCAGGTAGGGAAAAAAAATCTTCTAAACTGAATACATTTCATATGAAAATTACGAAGACAATAACATGGAATCCCACAAAATCTATTTTTAGAAAGTTATTTTGCAGAGCAAAACTATATATTTGAAGGGAGAGGGGAAGTTGGTGGAGGAGGCAGTTAGTGCTGGTTTCATTGTACTGACTGAGTGTTTTGTTTCCTTGACTGAACTTGGAAAACATTTACTTCTGCTGCATCTGGAGTCTCTTGTTTTTATGTAATTAAAGTTTCAAATACAAATTGCTCTCTGCTTGATGTGCTATGTGTCCTGATCTCATGTTAACAAGCCCTTGAATTCCAAATTTGCTGATATAAAAGTATATTTACCTTGGTGCCTCTAGTTTCTATCTTTTTTTGAGCCAGCAATAATGGCTATGTCCATTCACTAACACGATGATCTCAAAATATATTTTGGTTATGGTTAGAGATGGATATGGTTAAAAAGAAAATATAAACATTTTTAAAGATAATCTCATTGCAATTGTGTAAGATACATTAATGTTAAACTGAGAAGTCCAATTTAGGAAATTAGAAGGTTTTATATATACCTTGTTGATGAATTTTGTTTTAGTTCTAGGTGCCAGCAACTACAACCACACTGAGTAGATTAAGGCTACGTCTACACTGCAGGCTTTTTGCGCAAGAACGGCCGTTCTTTCACAAAATCTTACAGTGTCTACACTGCACATGCTTTCTTGCGCTAGTAAGGCATTGGAACAAAGGGCTTTTTGCACAAGAGTTATTCCTCTCCCCACGAGGAATAATCCCTCTTGCACAAGAGCTCTTGAGCAAGAAGGCAGTGCGGATGGGCAACAGGGGCTTCTTGCGTAAGAAACCACTACGGGTAAAATGGCCATCAGAGCTTTCTTGCGCAAGACAGAATCCACACCACCATGGATGCTCGTGCGCGAAAGCACATCTCTTGCGCAAAAGCACATAGCAGTGTGGACATGCTCTTGCGCAAGAACTCTTGCGCAAAACAG